AACCTATATAAGAATTATACAATAAAGATGCAGGCGGTTCTTACGCTCTCACTCTGGTTTTCTCCTCGGCTCCACACTGCTTGCTGTTGTTGCTAATGTCTTGCACACCTGTGTTCTTTAACCTTGGGACCTCACTTGGGAACATCCCCCTTGGGCCTCCTGAGTGGGCTGACATATATGTGCCTGAGGGTCAGGGAAGGGCCTGCTGAGACCCCATGCCAGGCTGTGGTGAGCCCAGGGTGCTCACTGGCTCCTCTGGCCTCTGTCCCACCTCTTGCAGGTGTATCTTTTTTTTTCATTTGCAAATCCAAACAGCAAAGTGTTCTGAGCAGCACTAACCAGGGGCTCTAGAGGAAGGAGGATTCCAGGTAGGAAATAAGTTCATCTGGAAGCTGGGCATAGTGGCACACACTTGTAATCACAGCACTTGGGAAGCTGAGGCAGAGGATCATGAATTTCAGGCTGGCCTGGTCTATGTAGCAAGATCACATCTTTAAAACAAATCACTTGGCTTGTGGTTATTGAACAGAAGGCCATGTCTTGCTGATCACTCATGCTGGATGTACCTGGAGAACATCACTGTGGTTATGGTATGCAGAGGGCTAGGCCAACCTACTGGCTGAGCTGGTTGTGGGGGGGGTTAGAGAGAGGGCAAGGGAGGGGCTGTCCTTGCTTTCCAGAGTCTGTCTGATTTCTAACTCACCCCCCATTCCTCCTCTTAACTTGGCCCTATTTCAGGCTTCCTGGGCCTCATAGTGCCTCCCTGGGGGCTGTGGGCTCCTCACCCTACTGTGTTGCAATATGGGTTGGGCTGGGGGCCTGGCACTGGGGCTCAGGTTGAGTAATGACCTGGTGGCCTGCTGTCTAATCTCTTTGCAACGTTGTGTCCAGCAGGGCCAAGGAGGGAATGGGATGGGCTGATGGCTACAGAGCATAGGTCTCCGTGATCATATCACCTCCAGTGGCATCCTGACACTCTGGGGACCCTGTACAGGGAGAAGGGCCACTGGGCACCCAGGTCTGCTCTTGTGAGCATACACACTACTTGGAAACATGAGCTTGGTTTTTTTTTTTTTTTTTTTTTTTTTGAGACAGGGTCTCACTATGTAATGCAGGCCAGCCTTGAACTCACTTATGTAGCCCCAGCTGGCCTCAAATTCATGACAATCCTCCTGCCTCAGCCTCCTGAGTTCTGGGATTATAAGCATGTGCCATCACGCCCAGTGGAAACATGACCTTGGACTTGGAGCCCTCTTTGCTGAGAGCTGCCAAGTTCAGACCAAATAATTTTTATTACCTATACCCCAGCCCTTAGGGAAATGTCCCAGACCCGGGACATGGTGCCTTCTGCTGCCCACCTCTCCCTGAGTTTCTCTCCCACTGTCCCTTGGTTGCTGATAGCCTAGGAATAAGCTCCAGGACCTTATTCCTAGGCTGAGCCCCTCACAGGTTGAGAACACACTGGGTTATTTTGTGAACAGTGGAGGGTTTGGGTCAAAGAGAAGAATCACGCTCTCGGGCCCCCGAATCAAATCCATCAGTTCCGAGGACAGTGGATGAGGATAGGAGGAGGCCTAGTCTGGGAATCAGGAAGAGACTGCCTTTAACCATATTCTCCCAGCAGCTAACTCCTGCTCCTCTCACTGTGTCATAGTTCTTAAAGTTCCTTTTCACTCTCAGTCCCTTGTGCTGATGCACAGGCCCCAGGCTCACTTACTGGGTTTCTAGACCCCAGACCTGGTCCCACCAGGAACCTGATGCCTTGGGTCTCTCAGCTAACATTCACCCGACTGCTCTCTATCCAGAATCTCTCTTTTCAGCAGAAGTCCCCAGGAAGTGGGTTGCTCGCTACCCACCCACTTCCTCTATCTGAGGGATAAGGGGGCCCACAGAGTGGCCAGCAAGAGAGGGCAGAGGCACCAGTGGTGAGTGTCCTGCTCCACTCAGAGCCTCTGCCTAGACCCCAAGGTCCAGCCTCTGGACTCTCACCCAGGCCCTGCCTTTCCGCACAGATGCTGTGGCTGCTGCTCTTGACCCTTCCCTGCCTGGGAGGCTCCATCCCCACAACCCCTGGTAAGTCCTGACCCCATCCCTGTCCTCAGGGTTCACAGGACCAGTCCTGGGGCTGTCCACTTGCCAGGGGCCTTGCTGACTCTGAGTCCTGAGCACCTCCATCCATCCCCTGACAACCACCCCACTACTTCCTCAGACCCTCACCCACAACAGGAGCTGGCAGGCATCGTGGGCGGCTGCCCTGTCTTGGCCAGGAGGTTCCCCTGGCAGGTCAGCCTGCAGTTCTACAGCCAGCGCAGCCACCGGTGGGAGCACATCTGCGGGGGCTCGCTCATTCACCCACAGTGGGTGCTGACTGCCGCCCACTGTCTTGAGCCGTGAGTGGGGCCGTCCATGCCCTTGGCTGGGTGCAGGGCCACCAGGAGGGAGGCAGGATTTCTGGGCCTCCCCAGGCTGCAGGGGCAGCCTTGGCTCAAGTGTCTGGCCCAATCCCTGCAACTGCGCCAGCTCAGCCTCCCTGGCCTGCAGGCCTCCCTGGCCTGCAGGCCTCCCTGAGGGGTTTGTGGTGTCCCTTTCCAGGGAGGAGCTGGAGGCCTGTGCCTTCAGGGTGCAGGTTGGGCAGCTGAGGCTCTATGAGGATAACCGGCTGGTGAAGGTGGCTAGGATCATCCGTCACCCCAAGTACAATGAGAGCCTGTCAGCCTGGGGAGGCAGGGACATCGCCCTGCTGAGACTGGAGGCCTCTGTGGCACTGTCAGAGCACATCTACCCGGTCTCCCTCCCTGAGGCCTCCCTGAAGGTCTCTGGGAGCAAGACCTGCTGGGTGACTGGCTGGGGTAACATCAGAGCTGAAGGTAAGGATTGAGGACAATTTGTTGGGGGAAAAGTCAAGGGAGGTGTCCAGGGATGGGGTGCAGCTGCGGTGGAAATCCTTCATTGGGGTTTTAGGGAGCCTCCATTACTGTCCTGGGGCTGTCAATATAGACGGCCACATGCAGGCGTTTTAAAATAACATTATTGCTCTCGGGGTTACAAGGCCATGTCCAGGAGTTGGCAGGGTTGGATCCTTTGATGCCCTGAGGGACTATCCTTCTCCCTCTCCTGGTGCTGCTGGCCATCCAGGGGTTCCCAGTCATATGGCTGTGTCTCTCCATGCCCTGCCACACATGGCCCTGTGTGACTGTGTCCCAATATCTTCTGTCCATCCTCTCTAAGGATACCAGTCACTGGATTTAGGTCCCATCCTAACCCAATGTTACTTGTCTTTTTTTTTTTTTTTTTGTCTTTTTGAGATAAGGTCTCACTATGCAGTTCAGGCTGGCCTTGAGCTCACTTTGTAGACCAGGCTGGCCTCCAACTCACAATGATCCTCCTGCCTCAACCTCCCGAGTGCTGGGATTACAGGTGTGCACCACCACGCCTTTCTTTTTCTTGTAAACTTCTTTTGGTTGAAACTACTACCTGTCAATTCCCATGAAGCCTTTTTTGGGGGGGGGCGGGTACCAAGAATCAAACTCATGACTTCACGTTTGCCAGGCAGGTGCTGTGCCGCTGAGCTATATCCCTGGCCCTTACTTGTCTTAATTTGGTGACATCTGTAAAGACTCTGTTCCCAAACAGTAAAGACCTCAGCATCAGGGCTCAGGATGTGGCTGTTTCTTCCTTTTTGGGGGACAGCATTCACCCCACGACCTGACGAACTTTTTGCTGAATCCTAATCACCGTCTTCAGATGAAAGCTGTCCCTTCTTTTGTGGGAGAGAAACCCCAGACTAAGGGAGGCTGATAGCTGACCTAGATCCCCTGTTGGCCAGTTCCTGAAGCAGGATGTGCAGGCAAATCTTGCGTTTCTTTACCCCAACCCTCTCATGGTACAATCTCTGATTGTTCCCGCAGAGCCCCTTCCCCAGCCCTTCCACTTGCAGGAGGTGGAGGTGAAGGTCAGGAGTAGAAGCAACTGTGAGCAGGTCTATCACCATTCCTTCCCTGAACACACTGGCCAGCTCATCAAGGATGACATGCTGTGTGCCGGAAACCAGATCTACGGCCCCTGCTCGGTGAGACTCCAGACCTATGTCCTCTTCTCTGGTCCTCCTGGCCCTAGTGCCAGTGAATGCAGGGAGGGCCAACTGTGTCCTGCATCTCCCGCAGGGCGACTCTGGAGGCCCCCTGGTCTGCATGTGGAACTGCACCTCGGTGCAGGTGGGTGTGGTAAGCTGGGGCGACATCTGTGGTCACTGTGCCCTCCCCGGCGTATACACTTCCGTGATGAGCTACGTGTCCTGGATCCACCACCATGTTCCCCGGTTCCCTGGGCCCCATGTGGGGCTAAGGCGGGATCCTCCTAATGAAAGAGACCCCCAATCTTCCTTGACACCTCTTCAGGGCCTTCCCCATCCCAGCCTCACTGCTCAAAGCCCTGAAATTGTTCCCACCCCCAGCCCCCAGCCCCCAGCCTGCAGCCTCATCCCCTTCCTGCCCTCCAGGGAGAGGCAGGGGAGGTCCTGAAGGGTCTCATCACTCTGGAAGCGGGTGTGCACTGAGTGGGTGTGGAGAGCCAGGGTCCAGTGCCTTCTGTTCGCTCTTCGGATCTCATTAAACCTTACTAAGCAGCTTCTGTGTGGCCTAGTCACTTCGTTCCTGTGGGACACCCCTTGGGATCTTAGCTGTGGCCTTCAGGCAGGGCAGAACAGGGCTGGGTATGGATGTGGGATGCTCGGGACCTGTGTGCAGGGTATTCCCTGTGGGAGGCTGCTGCAGGGAGCACAGTTTGGCTCATCCTCCCCCACCCCATTATTACCAGTCTACCTTGGCCCAGGCCTCATTGTATAAGGTGGTGGCTTCCAGGGCTGGTAGTTGGAAGCTGTGTTCATAAACTGCTTAGGTGGAGTGTGGCGCATGGTGGAGACATCTGCCTGGACTAAGGGGCAGCCCAGGAGTGGGGCTGTGTGTGTCCTGGGCTTGTCAGAGACTAACCCAGTTTGAGCTTCTGGCCTGGAGTGTGACAGCAAGTCAGGCTCCTGTGGGCAGAGTGATGGTGTGGGTCACATGGCTTCTTTGGCAGGGTGATCAGTTCCGTGTGATAGGAGTCCTGACTCCATTTGCAGGCTCCCATCTTAGGCCCTGTCTGCAGTTGCTCTGGACCTTCGAGGAAGCAGAGCCCCTGGGGTGGGGATACTTGATTTTGCCACCACAATCTGGAACTTGGCCCAGGGCTCCTATCCCTATAGCTTGTTACCCAGGTGTGGTGCTCACTGGGGAGCTCTTCGGACTTTGGTCCTGGACTTGGCATCAGTGGTGGAGGCCTGTGCACCCCAGGGTGGTGACAAGCATGCTCCTGGGGTGTCATGAGCCCCTAGCTCCCACAAGGCAGGGCAGTAAGGACAGACATCCTTGAGACCTGATGAAGCCTCTTATGGGGAATAGTGACTCAGGTCTTTTGGAGACAGGCCCCTTCCCATTAGAGAAGGACAGTACTGGCCAGGCATTACCTGTAAGCCACAGTCCACCTGTGAGTCATCCTTTTAACCCAGTGTGTCCGGGGCCCCAGACTGAAAATGTCCAACCATAGGGTCTTCCAGGTCCCACATTCTGGGACAGGGTGATTCTTCTGTCAGAAATAAGACCCACCGCTCTTCCCTGGCCTTTGTGTCCTGTTGCACTGGGCCTTGTCCACAGCTCACCAAAGCATTTGGTCCCAAGCCCCTTCCAGGGTTTCCCTTCCAGGTCTAGAGATGGCCCATGTGATGGGAAGTGATGAACCACGCCAATCTGCTGAACTGCAGGGGACAAGGGAGGTAGCCAGAGGTGTTTACTCCATCTCTGCTTCCCTAGGGCTGACCCAAACTCCCCATCTTAAGAAGGTCCTGAAGACTCACCCAGGAAGAGGAAGATCTGCTCCCACTCTTGGTCCTGAGTGGAGCCCTGGGGTCCTTGTTCTGTACTGTCTCTCAGGCTGCATGCACCCCATAGCTCCTCCCCTGGGGCTGGGTGCTCCTCACCCCACTGTAATGCTATGTAGGATAGGCTAGTGGTGGGGCCCTGGGGCTCAGGTTGGGTGATGCCACGGTTTCCCACTGTCTAATCAATTGCTTGCAACACCATGTCCAGCAAGGCTGATGGCTGATGAGGGTGGGTCTCCACAAGGGGACCCAGCATGGGGTCTTGGGGGCTCTTTCATTTTAAGGCCTCAAGGTTTTCTTGTGGGGACCCATGAATAACCATGTATTCATGTCACACTACTCTATATTTTTCACATCATGTAAAAATTGGGCTGCAGTCTGGTGCCAAATCCCAGTGTTCTTAAATGGAATCCTCAGAAAGTGATACATTTGAGAATATCGTTGGTGTCTGCAGGCTACCTGGCTTCTCTGATGTGCCCAAAATCCAACCTACATGAACATCTTGAATGTATTGTTCCCATCCTCTGGGGCATGAGACTCTCCCAAGGTTGGTTCCTTCTACCTTTAATCAGGCATCACAGGGTGGCTTATGGTTCTTAGAGAGAAGACAAGTGTGCCCATCCACAGATGTGAGGCTCTTGTCCCTAAAAAGTGTGTCTTTCCATCCTATGGAAAACTGGTGACCTCACAAAGGAGGAGCAAAAGGAGACAGAGAGATGGAATCTCCATGGAATCTCCAGGCAGTGTGTGTTGCGGGGAGGTCTTTAAAACAACCAGGTTTTTAAACAAATTTGTTTGTTTGTTTTTGAGACAGGGTCCCGTTGTATAGTTTAGGGTAGCCTTGAACTCTCCATGTAACCCAGGCTGGCCTCGAGCCTGTGGCAATCCTCCTGCCTTAAACCTCCCAAATGCGGGGATTACAGGCGTGCACTACCATTCTCAGCTGCAACTGGGTGTTTTAAAGATTGATTTCAATAAATGTCTGTTGATTGATTGAAGAACAATAATTAGCATTGGCTCCAGGAAAGGAGAAGCTCCATGTCTTCCATCGACTTTTTCCCAGGGGAACTGCCAAGAATTCTATGGGAAATTTGAGGCTCTGAGGGAGGAAATGATATGTTCAGCATCATGGGACTGTGGCACTAACACAGAATCCAAGAAAATGATCCCACTGAGGCTTAACCCAGCGTGGACACTGCCCGGAGTGCAATTAACCCAGCAAGTTGAGTGGGAAGAAGCACGGACCCAGGACTTCATAGGATAGGGAGTCCTAACTGTAGCAGTGGACTCCTCTGTTCTTCAGAAACCACCCTCTGTTCTTGGCTTTTCCTTGTTCTGTCTTCCTTTTAGGAAATCACATCAAAGTCAATAAGTAAAGTCCTGTTGGGATTTATATTCAAATCATATATCTGTATTAACATTTTCCTAATGTTAATACATTGTTCTTCTGCTCAGGACTGTGTACAATACTCCAGTTATTCAGGTCTCTGAACTGTATCCTTTTTTTTTTTTTTTTTTGGTACCAGGAATGGAACTCAGGACCTTGCACTTGTCAGGCAGGTGCTTGTGCCACTAAGCTATATCCCTGGCCCCTGAAAACTATATCCTAATAGGACTGTCATGTCCTATTAGAAGGTGGAAGAACCCATGTAGATAAGCAGAATGTGGTATGCACACCCAATAGAATATTATTCAGCCTTAGGAAGGAAGGAAACTTGCAGGTACAGAGATCAATACGTGTAATCCCAGCTACTCCAGAGGCTGAGGCATAAGGATCTTGAGCTTGAGGCCATCCTAGATAATTTGATAATGTCAAAACAAAGCAAAACAAATAAAAATAAAAAAATAAAAAAGGCTAAGGTGTAGCTTAATGTTCAGTACCAAAAGAAAAAAAAAGAAGAAAGATGTTAATTTTTTTCTCATATACATTTCATTATAATAAAAATTTGGGAAAATAGCAAGAATATGTTATAATTCTGCTTTTCAGAATCCATGCACATCTTTTTTTTTTTTTTTTCCCGGTACCGGGAATTGAACTCACCACCTTGCGCTTGCCAGGCAGGTGCTGTGCCGCTGAGCTAAATCCCCAGCCCCCCATGCACATCTTTTGATAGATTTATTCCTATAGGCTCTGAAAATGGTACCTTTTCATCAGATTGTCTAGTTGTACTTAATGATATGTAAAAATGCAATAGACTTTGGCCTAGCAACCTTGCTAAACCCTTATTTTAAATATTTGGTAAGCAGTTATTTCTATGTAAATAATCACATACTCAAACAATGACAACTTTAAAAAATATTTTTAAAATCTTTTTTTCTAAATCTTTTATTACTTTTCTTTTGTGGTTCTGGGAATTAAACTCAGAGCCTTCACACTGAGCTGCACACCCAACTCTGTTTTATTTTGAGACAGGTTCTTGCTGAGTCACTAAGTTGTCCAGAGTGGGCTCAAACTCACAGTCTTCCTGCTTCAGCCTTCCAGAGTGCTAGTATTACAGTTGTGGCCCACCTTCCTTTCTAAATTCTTTTTTTTTTTTTTTGGTCTTTTTGAGACAAGGTCTTACTCTATAGTTCAGGCTGGCCTTGAACTCACTTTATAGCCCAGGCTGGCCTCGAACTTGCAGTGATCCTCCTGCCTCATCCTCCTGAGTGCTGGGAGTACAAGCACGTGCTGCTACGTCTGGCTTCCTTTCCAAATTTTATCCTTTCAGCTTTTCTATTTTTCATGACCCTTGTTAGGACTTCTAATAGCACATCAAACAGAAGTGAAGGCAGTGCTTGCTCTTTCTTGGTTTTTTAAAGTAAGGGATGCTTTTCAATTACCTGTCTAGGATTATGATTTCTCTAGGTTTTATTTATATATTTATTTATTTTATTATTTATTTTATTATTTTATTTTATTTTATAGTGCTGGGGACAGAACCCAAGGCCTTGTGCATTCCAAGCAAGCATTCAACTACTGAGCCATATTCCCAGCTCTGGGCTTTATTTTAATAGCTTTCCTTTACTGGTAAAAAATTTTTTTTCAGTACTGGGGATTGAACCCAGGGCCTCTGCACTGATCTGTATCTGGAGCCCTTTTTAAGTTTTGAGACGGGGTCTTGCTGAACTGCTAAGTTGCTTCAGCTCAGCTCAAACTTATGATCCCCTTGCCTCAGCCTCCCTCAATTCTGGAATTACAGTTTATGCCACTACATTTGGTTTGGATACAAATACTTTATGTTTTGCAAAAATCTCCCTATGTGTACCTTTGTTTCTACTTCTTTTTTTTTTTTGTTTTGTTTTGTTTTTTCTCCGGTACAGGGAACCGAACTCACGACCTTGCGCTTGCCAGGCAGGCGCTTTTGCCGCTGAGCTAAATCCCCAGCCCCCTGTTTCTACTTCTTAAAGAGTAGTTTTTGATGACGGTAAGATTATAATTTTGATGAAATCCAATTCATAAAAGATTTAAAAATTAAATATGCTATCTTTTGTATATGTGCTGCTGAAATGAGCACAATTATGCTATCTTTTGATTAATACTTGCTGTAATATCTTTTATCATTATTTTACTGTTAACTTTCTTATGAACAGTATGTCTGAATTAGTTGCTTATTTCAATATTTATACTTTAACTGGTAAATTTACTCCCTTTGTATTTATTAGAATCATTAATATATTCAGACTGGTTCTACCATCTGAATTCTTTTTTATATAATTCAATTATTTTCTATGCTAATTTCTCTTCCTTCTTTTTTAACCTTTACTGTAGATTGAGATCTACATTCAACCCCATTAAGTTAAGAAGTTTATCAAGTCTCACATCTCCTAATCTCTCCTTCTCCTTCAAATTTATCACACTGATACCAGTTAGACTGTTAATTGTGGGGTACTGTGGATGTATTTTCTCTTTTTTCTTCAGTTTTATCTGTTTTCTGAAGATAACAGTAAGCTTTACCGTGATATTTGATTTCCTTTGCTGACTGTATCTCTTGCAACATTTTCTGCAATTGTCTTTCTTTGTATTTGAGTTTTATCTAAACTGTCTCTAAGATTGTCACTGTGGTAGAACGCCCTGTGCCTGAGGAGCTGTTCATATTGTTGGCATCTTTGAATAGCAGTTTGCTTGGATAAACATTCCAGGTTCTAACTTATTTCCTCACCATTTAAAGGCTTTACTTTATTGTCAACCTGTACCCACTGCTGGAGTTGCAAGATACAACCTGCGTTATGTTTATTCGGATGATTGTTTTTTCAAAATGTGAAACTGAGATAGAATCAGGCCCCTACCCTGTGCTCTTCTTGCCTTTAGAGCATTGCACACTTTAGTATTTGAGATTGTGCCAGGAGAAGATCCTGAGACAAGCACTCGGGGGAATGGCATGTTTGGGAAGCACAGTGTCAAGGGGGAGGTCAGTAGCCAGCAATGTGTGCATTTGGAAGTCTGCTTCTATTTTGGGTCCTAGAGGAGTCTAGGAGCCAGAGAGCTCCAGTGTCTTCCTCCTGAGGGACCATGGAGCTGGACATTGATAGCCCAGCTCCTGTTGGTCACTAGAACTCCAGGAAATGCCATCCTGTCCTGTTGGGGTCAGAGCTGGGGCACAGGTGCCAAGTCAAAGGGGGAGCCTGGTTGGTAGTAAGGATGTGCTCCTTATGCCACTAAAATGCATGGCTTACTTGACAAGAACCTGCTTTGTGATGACAAACAGGAAGGGATCAGGCTTGCCTGTCCAAGGGAGTGTTGGGTATGAAGTTGGGTATGTAGAGGGAGTGGGACCAAGGCTAGAGGACAGGGTGTGAAGTGAGCAAGGTCAGAACACGAGCTGAGGGGGAGCACAGCTCCCAGTCTGCAAGAGGAGTTGAGCCTTGTCCTGTTAGCCGGTGGTTTCTGTCACTTCCCAACTTGAGAGATACATCAGAAATACCAAGGGAGCATTTGGACAAATGGACATGTTTTGCTTATAAAAGCAGCAGCCAGTGATTCACCGGTGGACCATTGATTCTTATGACCATGATGACAACTTGAGCCTCCTTACCATCCCAGGTCCCTGGCAAGCAGGGAAATCTGTGGGCAATGGGGGACAGTGCCCCTTCCCCAGAGGCCCTTTAGTGTCTGTAAGCCTAGAAGAAAGAATGGCTGACTGGGTGGCCAGGGTGGAGACAAAATGATCAGCCTGAAGCCTCTGGTGGGTGCTGCTGGTGTGTAGAGTCCAGCGTTCTTGCAAGAGCCTACCCACTGTGGTCTGCTATCATGGTGTCATGAGTGACAGAGCATACATATTCCCCAGTTGCAGCACTCAGGGGTCTCCAAGGCAGCCTGCCAGCATGCGAGAGGGGGCTCCTGGCTGTCCCAGCAGACAGATGACACCTCTGTTATCCCTGATAGGTCTCTAAGTGACCCCAGCTCCAGGTCTAAACCCAGTTCTGCAGACTAGGCAATGGTGTGGAAGCAGAGGACAAGACAGGTTCTTGTCCAGGAAGCCCCAGTATAGCTCCTCTTGCCCACACTGTCTGGGAGCAGCAGTTCCTGAACTCAGCAGTGATGCAACCCAGGCTTGGGCTGAGGCTGGCCAGCACTCTGAGGTAGAGGTTGCTCACACTCGCTGTTGCCTACTTTCTAATCTCTTGCAATACTGTGTGTGAGGCAGGGCTGGAGACGGTGGGCCTGAGGCCAGTGGAGAGAGTGGGAGGATCCAGGGCCTCAGGCATGAAGGATTTGTGGCCCAGGAGGACCCTGCATCTGTCTGCATGAGGAGTCCTGACTGTTCTTCCCCTTGGCAATGGAGATACATCACATGAAATGAAAACATTTGGAGGTTACATTCCTAACAGAGTGCTACACATGAATCTTAGGCAGAGGAAAAGATTTAAAAAACTCCCAGGTTCCTTCTAGTTCATCCCAAGTGGCCCAGCTGGCCACATGCTCCCCCAGTCCTTCTTGCTGATGGGCAGATAGGGGTGGGCAGGAGTCTGTCCCACCAGCTTGAGGTCACAGCAAAGTGCACAGACCTGGCCCACACATAGGAGTTTATTCTCCCGCAGTCCTGCAGGCTGCAAGTCAAGCTGGGCAGAGATAGTTGCTCTTAAGGCCTCTCTTCTAAGCTTGTAGATGACACTTTCTCCCTGTGTCCTCACATGATAGTTCCTTTGTCTCTTATGAGTACACCAGTCAGATTGGACTATGGCCTACCCATGTGATCTCATTTTACCATGAACTCCCTGTTAAGACCCTATGTCCAAATTCTGAGGCTCTGGGCTTTAGGGTTCAACATAATAATTTGGAGAACCCAAATTAGCCCATGTCTGGGGCCTACTCCTTGCTGAACCCATAGACCCCCTTGTCTCCTGTGGAATTAGCAGAAATGTCTCCTCCTCATTCTTAGGTCTGATTGTCTTCTCTTAAATCATGTTCTTCCTGTACACTTAGCAAAACGTCCTCAAACTCTTGCCTCAAACATCCTCAAACTCTTTCCTGGCATAGTGACACATGCCTGCAATCTCAGCACTCTGAGAGACTGACACAGGAAGATCTCAAGTTTGAAGCCATCCCAGGCAACTTAGCAGCTTGGGAAGATGCAGTTTCAAAATAAAAAATTTTTAAAAAGGGCTGGAGATGTAGCTCAGGGCAGAAACCCTGGATCATTTCCCATTACTGCAAAACAGATAAACAGCAATAACAAAAAATTCTCTCAGACTCTTCTGTAAGCAGGCTGTAGCCTTCAACCATGGGAAAAGGGACGTGGGATCACTGAGGACTGCAGGAAGGGAAGACACAGGGAAAGTCTACAGCTTTTGTTCTCCCACATTCAGAATCATGACATGGCACAGTCTCTAATGGGCCACCTGCTGCATGGAGCCATGCATGGCCAGGAGCCATGTCCTGGCCTCAGAGACGTGGTGGGGTACAGGATGGTCTGACAGGTATGTAACCGGGCATGGTGGATGTCTATCGTTGTGTGGGCACCTGGATCTCTGGGCCCCTGGGTGCCACTTTGACCTGGCTGTTATGGGAACAAGAAAGGCTGGGGGTCAGTGGTGTCCAGATAATTGCTGCAGTGGGGTGGCTGGGATGAGGACCTCCCTATGCCCTGGTCAGGGGGTCCAAGGAGGTGCAATGACAGCTTGCCTTTGCCCCTTGCTGTGTGTGGGAGGTCACTGTCACTGCAAAGGATGGATATGTCTCCAGACCTGCTCAGTGTCCTGACCCAACCATCCTGACACTATTTGGCAAACTCTCCTACACCCACCAGAACTCTGAGACCCTGGCCTGCATTCCTAGGGTTTCACCAGCTTCAGGTGTTGGGCTCCTGTGGGATACAGGGCTATAGTCACAGATGAAGACATAGGGCAGGTGCTTCAATTTGGCCTGTAGAGCCCCCCTCCTTGACCCGTCACTCATTCACCATATTTCTGTCCCTTCTGAGCATTGTATTCATGGCTCATGTTCTTCCATAGCGACCCCTTCCACCTGCCCCAGGTGCAGTGAGCTTTCATTGACCATCACTTGTCACTGGTCCCAAAAAAGGGAGAGGATGTGACTGCCTCTAGCACATACTCTCTCTTCCTCTAGCAGGCCTGATACACCACGTGCCCACATCCTGTGGTGGAGGATAAATGAGGCTCGAGGGAGACACAAGGGAGGGGAGAGTGGCAGAGTTAGGCTTACTCAGCTGCCTGGGCCCCTGTCCTCTGGTCTTCTGGCTCCAGAGCTTGTGTTTGGGGTCTGAGCTTTCTGTTTCCAGGCTGCCACAGGATGTTGTGGCTGCTGCTCTTGACCCTTCCCTGCCTGGGAGGCTCCATCCCCACAACCCCTGGTAAGTCCTGACCCCATCCCTGCCCTCAGGGTTCACAGGACCAGTCCTGGGGCTGTCCACTTGCCAGGGGCCTTGCTGACTCTGAGTCCTGAGCGCCTCCATCCATCCCCTGACAACCACCCCACTACTTCCTCAGACCCTCACCCACAACAGGAGCTGGCAGGCATCGTGGGCGGCTGCCCTGTCTCAGCCAGGAGGTTTCCCTGGCAGGTCAGCCTGCAGTTCTACAGCCAGCGCAGCCACCGGTGGGAGCACATCTGCGGGGCCTCGCTCATCCACCCACAGTGGGTGCTGACTGCCGCCCACTGTCTTGAGCCGTGAGTGGGGCCATCCATGTCCTTGGCTGGGTGCAGGGCCACCAGGAGGGAGGCAGGATTTCTGGGCCTCCCCAGGCTGCAGGGGCAGCCTTGGCTCAAGTGTCTGGCCCAATCCCTGCAACTGCGCCAGCTCAGCCTCCCTGGCCTGCAGGCCTCCCTGGCCTGCAGGCCTCCCTGAGGGGTTTGTGGTGTCCCTTTCCAGGGAGGAGCTGGAGGCCTGTGCCTTCAGGGTGCAGGTTGGGCAGCTGAGGCTCTATGAGGATAACCGGCTGGTGAAGGTGGCTAGGATCATCCGTCACCCCAAGTACAATGAGAGCCTGTCAGCCTGGGGAGGCGGGAACATCGCCCTGCTGAGACTGGAGGCCTCTGTGGCACTGTCAGAGCACATCTACCCGGTCTCCCTCCCTGAGGCCTCCCGGAATGTTTCCTCAAGGAAGTCCTGCTGGGTGACTGGCTGGGGTAACATCAGAGTTGGAGGTAAGGATTGGGGAGACTCCATGGCTACTCTGTGTTCACTGTTGGGAACAGGTGCCCCCCCCACCGGGATTCTCACCTGGCCTCTCCCCACAGAGTCCCTGCCCCCACCTTACCACCTACGAGCAGTGTCGGTCCCCATTGTGGAGAACGAGGCCTGTAACCGAAAGTACCAGAACTCTTCCTGGGATAGTGCCAGTGAGGTCATCAAGGATGATATGCTGTGTGCTGGGCAGGAGGGCCGTGATTCCTGCCAGGTGAGCCCTACCCAGCCTCCCCCTCTGTTCTCCCAGCAAAGCCTCCTGGGGCCCCGGTGTGTAAGTGGGTAGGGCCTTGGAGGGTACACTGTGTCTTGTATCTCCTCAGGGCGACTCTGGGGGTCCCCTTGTCTGCACATGGAACTGCACCTGGGTGCAGGTAGGCATAGTGAGCTGGGGTTCCAGCTGTGGCAATCGTGATTTCCCTGGGGTGTATACCCGTGTGATGAGCTATGTATCCTGGATCCATCACTATGTTCCCCTGTTCCCTGGGCCCTAGATGGGGCATGAATGTGGTCTTCCTGGTGGAGGAGCCCCAGTCTTCCTTTTGACACTTCTTGCCCTTCCCCTGAATCCAGCCTTATCCCCCAAATGTCTTCATCTTCAGATGAAGTGGGTTGCCCTTGCCCTCCTACGCTGAGTTCCCTGGGCCTCTCTGATCTCTGGGAGGGAGGGCTGTGAGGCAGTGTCTCTGGGAATTGGGGTAGGAGTGGGATGTGTGGTCAGACCTCCTGCTCACCTGTTTCCCATTAAACTGTGGATTGTCTAATTGATCTCTGTTTGAACTCAGAGCCTAAAAGTGGCTGGGAGGCTGGGCTGGGGGAATGGGACCATTCCTGGCCAGTGCTCTAGGATCCTCTACCACTCTACACTGGGGCCATCAAAGGGGGTCAGACACACAGCATGGATGTTCTGGGGCTGACCCCATTGGCCTGTTCAGGTCCCAGGCAGAGCTCAGTGCTTGGGGATCTCATCTACAATGTTTCTGTCCCCACTCAGTGGTGCCAAGATAACCATTTTTGAGCCCACACAGCCATTCAGTCTTAAGGCTCAAATGTTAATTTCCTCACCATGATCACTGAAATATGCCCAGAATCAGCATAGGGTGACCTCCCGCCACTACCCACCAGAACTCTGAGACCCTGAATGTTGAAGAGCTCCTGGTGCCCACTGGCATCCTCCTGTCCTTTGCTGCCAAGTCAGAGCCCAGCAGAGACCTGTCCTCAGAACCTGGGACACACTGGAGCCACACTGGCTAGACTTGCCCTTGCTTCCCTTGATCTAGGGAAGTCCTCATATCCCAAACCCTTCCAGTACCCTTTCCAGTGCCCTAGAGAGACAGGAAGAAGGTGGGACATGCTGCCCCTGTTGGCTCCTGGTCGCCAGGCACTGACTCTCCCACTGGAGTGCCTTATTCCCATATCTCTTGTACCCCTGGTTTCCTTGGCCCCCAGTGTGGTTCAGCCAATTCTGGGGGCTCCCATACCCCAAGGAGGGGACTTAAGATCATAATGAGACATGGTTGTATGAAGAGTAATGATAAAGAAGAGCCCAGGTTTTGGGGTGCTCCTGGGCAGTAGAGACTCCATGGGGGACAGGGCTGAGCAGCAGGCCCCACCTCCACTCTGGCTCCCAATCCTGCCATGCCTGATGGGTTCTATGCCTGTGACCTGAGTCCTAATCCTCACCCAATGTTCCTGCTTACTGTCCTGGGACCTGGAGTAGGATACAAGCTGACCCCCGCATGAGGATGGTCAAGCTCACATGAGGATGGGTCCTAAGGACGGGCTGAGAATGGGGGCCCAAGTTGGGCCCTGGCCGCTGGGCCCCTGGTGGCTCTTCACCCTGCTTGCCAGATCCTCACCCAGGGACTGAGTGTGTAGGCACCATGGGGCATGATGACTGTCAGGGAAGGGCCTTGGAAGGTTGACCTGAGGATCCTTTACAAAGAACACGACCAATGGGAACACAAATTTGGGGCCTGTGTCTACCCTGTGGGTGCTGTGGGCGAGGAGAGAGCAGAGGCAGCTGTGTGGTGGGGCAGTGTCTTGGGTTGGGCAGGAGACCTGTGTTCCAGGCTGTACACACCCAGCTTGGGGGATGGGGCTGTAGGTGCTCCTGCTCTGGCCTAGCTGTAGGGGGTCATGCCACCATCACGAAGTCTAACTCCCCTCCTGCTGCTGAGCAGAGATAGGATGAAAACCCAGAACCTCCTATCTCCCGCCATTTCTGCCCCTGGGAGGATGCCCCACTCATGCCTGCCATCACACCATGGCTACCCGACTGGTCCCCAGGGGTAGAGGGGCTTCCAGACCAGTCCTTAGTCTACCACCCCCTGCCTTCAGGTACTTGTGAAGTTCTAGGAGACTGCCCAAGTCCTGAGACAAGCTTCCCAGCCCCTGGCCAGGGTGGAAGGGAGGCTTCTGGAAGCCATACACAGGATCAGAGTGTGTATTCTATCTGCTGCTGCCTCTCCTCGGCCAAATTGTGTGGGTGTGTCACCTGAGCTGTCAGAAGTGGCCACCAGTAGCTATCTGGATGGAGCTTTGGGGTCAGGTCCTGCCTCATTTCCTACCTTCAAGTGATGCGGGGGCTTCTCCTGTTCACATCAAGAGAAAATCTTGGATGCCCAGAACCCTATAGGGTCAGGGGCCTGTGTATCCAAGTCACAGAAGCAGAGACAGGGGATGGGGCAAGGATCAGGGTTAAGCTGAGCTTAAGGAGTCTGGACTCCACTGGAAGAGGACCAAGAGAGGATGCTTGAATTTGTGACACAGGGTGGTGACAGCATAGGTGCAGGGTCTTGCAACATTGCAACTGAGGACCCAGCTCGGTGCTGGGTGGAGATACCTTGGTGGCCAATAGCTTGGGAGTGTCCTCAGGGTCCCCATGTGTCAAAACAGAAGGAATCAGGGTGGCTGAAGTCCTAGGGCCGTAGCCAAAGACACCTGATGGAGGCCTTTGTCCCTGATCATTCCCAGACTTGAACAAGCTGCAGGGACACAGAGGACCATAGGGCAGTGAGACAGAAATACCATTTGCTTTGCCCCCTCTTGCTCACATTAGAATATACCCCAAAAGCTGGACATGGGGCATACACCTGTGATCTGAGTACTCTGGGAGGCAGAGGCAGGGAGATTGCAATTTTAAACCCAGTTAGTGAGACCCTATCTCACTAAAATAAAAATGGGCTGGGGCTATAGCTCAGTGTGAAGGCCCTGGGTTCTGTCCTTAGTACTACACACACACACACACACACACACACACACAAACACACACACACACCACCTCAGAAGTGACCTCTGGCCTGCTCCCACACTGAACCTTACTCCAACACAGCTGGCAAGGGGCAAGGGTTCTGGGCATAGACACCACATTCTGCTCAGGGCTCTGTTGGGGACCCCAGGAACTTGCCTAATCTACATTTCCACCTTGAGTACATTCTGGGCCTTATCTCATTAGATTCTCAGGTGCTTCATCAAGCTCCAGGAACAAGGATGGGAAAGGGAATGTAGCCTTACACAGATGTGTATACCTCAGTTATGTTTTCAGTCCCAGGCCTCCCTGCGCAGGTCACCTCTGAGTCCTGTCCTGTGTGTATGTGTGTGCGCACGCACGTGTGTGTATCTATACAGTCTGAGTGTGCATGAATGTGCATGGGTGTGTGTTCACATGTGTATATGTGCTCTTATGCAGCCATGCCTGTGTATGTGTGTATACGTGTGTGTGTGTACTGTCCTCTAGGTGCACATCTATACAGTCTTAGTGTGCATGTGTGTGCATCTGTGCAAATGTGCATGTGTGTGTATGGATGCATGTATGTGTACCCTCCCATGGCTGTGCACAGGTGCCTGTGTATATACATGGCATGCATGTGTGCAATGTACGTGTGTACATGAGTGCAAAACAGTGTGGGCATGACTGTGCATGCATGTGCATGTGTGTCTATGTGGTTATGTGTGCATTTCCATGCATGTAGTCATTTAGTTGCACAGACTGAATCAGTGCCAACATAAATAAATATAAAATAAATATCACAAGTAACTGTTATATATATGAATTGGGGCCAATCACAACTAGACATCATGCAATGTGCAAAATTTTCTTAAAAATCACAATTGTCTAAATTTACCAATGAGGGTCCTGTAAATACACCTGTAGTTATAGTTATGGAGTATTCATTTCACTACCTCAATTAACAACCCCCCCCAACAGATACTGAGCCTGGTCTTCTGCCTGCTGAGTTCACTTCCAGTTGCTTATAGTCCAAAACAAAAACAGGGGCTGGGGATATAGCTCAGTGGCCCAGTGCCTGCCTGGCAAGTGCAAGGTCCTGAGTTCAATTCTCAGTTCAAAAAAAAGAAAACAGGCTACAACAACCATATATTCAATCACCCCATTCCTGAGTGTGCACCTATGAGAAATGAAGTCACTACACAGAAGAGACACCTGCATGGCCATGTTTATTGTGTACCATAATGGCCAGGATATGGAACCAGCCCAGGTGTCTGTCAGTGGGTGGGTGGATAAAGAAAATGTAGTACACAACCACAATGGAGTACAGTACTATTCAGCCATATAGAAGAATGAAATCCTGTCCTTTATAGGAAAGTGGGTGGAGCTGGAAGGCATTGTGTTAAGTGAAATAAAGCAGACACAGAAAGAAAAGTAAGAATGTTTTTTCTCATATGTGGAAACTAAAAAAATTTACTTGAAAATAGGAGAAGAACAATTAGGGACTGGAAAGGGGGCTGGATAGAGGGGAGTAGAAGGAGCATAGATGGGCATATTATCACCATATGACATATACATATATAAAAATAAAAATAAATTGAATTAATCTGCATAACTAATATGCATAAATAATAAAAGGACAGGCAAAATAGAAGGCCTGTCATTTTTTATTGGTTTACGCATCAAATTTCAGTACAAATCTTCCTATATTTGACAATTAAAACATACAGTTCTGTTTGGCACAGTGATAAACACCTGTAATCCTACCACTCTGAGAGGCTGAGGCAGATTGTAAGTTCCAGTCCAGTGTGGTCAACTTATCAAATTAGTGAGACACTATGTCAAAATAAAAAAGTACAAACGGGCTGGGGATGTGAAGGCCTTGGGTTCAATCTCCAGTAACACATCCACATAGGCACACACAACTACTCTACTTCTAAAAAAATTCTTGGATCAAAAAAATATGATGGAAACAAAAGATGTTTAGAACTAACAATGGTGTTAACTCCACTTGTTGGTCCCATGGGGCACAGGCAGTGCCCCGCCTCAGGGAAAGAGTCAGGCCCTGTAGGGTTTCATAACAATAGAGGATGACAGGAACTAAAAGTCCAAGTCCAGAAGTAAGAAAATAACACTAGAAGAAACCCAAAGACAGCAAAGGAATAAAACAAAGGTGGCAAAAGGGTCACCAGCCAAAAGCTGGTCCTTGACTCTACTAATTTCAGGAAAGCTCCACAAACTGAGCAGGGGATGAGGTGTACAAATCATGTCAGTAGCCAAAGAGGGAACAGAAGGATAGATTTAAAAATGGTAACAGCCAGTCATGGTGGTGCACGCCTATAATCCCAGCACTTGGGCGGCTGAGGTAGGAGGACTGCTTCGAGTTTGAGGCCAGCCTGTGCTACACAGTGAGTCTAAGACCCGCCTGAACTTCATAGCAAGACCCTGTCTCAAAAAACAAACAAAACAAAACAAAAAGGTGGTGGTCACTATAAACAACTGTCTTCAACAAATCTGCC